ACAAGATTAAATCTAGGCCCGTATCTCTCACCAAAATGCAATTACAAGGCTACTATGAAGATGAAATGAGAAAAGATACATATAGTCAATATTAAAACAGAAACAATCAGCTAGTAGATAAAATAGGTAAAATTCTTAAACACATAAGTATGTTTTCTTTTTTTTGAGACAGGGTTTTGCTCTGCAATTCCAACTCGTCTTAAATTCACTAGCTAGCCCAGGCTACCCTCAAAACCTCAGTGATCCTCCTGCCTCAGCCTCTCAAGTGCTGGGATTATAGGTATGTACCACTACATCAGGCTATGTCTTCTGAACAGAACCCCAATTGTACAAGAAATGAAACATCAAGAATCAACAAATGAGATTACAGTGAATTAAAACTTTCTGCACAGCAAAGACAATAATCAACAGAGTGAAGAGACAAGCTACAGAATAGGAAAAATTTTGCCAGCTACTCTTAGGGCAGTGGACTAATATCACAGGCAATAAAAGAATTAGACCTTCCCCAAATGTCTTTACTTTTCTCTCATTGCTGAGACAAAACACCCAAAATTAAGGACAGAAAGGTTTATTTAGCTCACAGTTTGTGGAGATTTCAGTCCATACTGGGCTGGCTCCAAGGCAGAGTGGCACACGGCAGAGGGCAACAGTTCATAGCGGAGGAAAAGAGCAAAAGCAACAAGAGCAAAAGGGAGGAGCAGCGGCAAGTAGCTGCTTCCTCTCCCTTACATTGTATGCAAACTATCCGCCCCAGGGCCAGTGCAGCCGCTCACACCCATAATCCCAGCATTGGACCATGAATCAACCATAAACTCTAGAAACCCACCCCGTGCTTGCATGAGGCTTTGCGGGGACATCCAGACACAAACCATGACAGCAAAATAAAAGACCAATCAAAAAGAGGGCAAGCAAAATGAATACACACTTCTCAGAAGAAGTACAAATAGCTAATAAATACATGAAGTTCAACATTACTGGCCATTAGAGAAATTCAAATTAAAACAACACTGGGATTTTATCTTTCTTTATAGCTGAGTAATATTCCATTATATAAAAGTACCACAATTTTCTTATCCAATCCTTGGTGGATAGACATTTGGGTTGCTTCCACAATTTAGCAATTACAAATTGTGCTGCTATGAACATAGGTGCACATATATCGCTGTGATATATGATGTTTTTAGATCTTCT